AGAAAAAAAGCAGAATTTACTGTTATGGCTGCTTTGTGGTGGTTGAATGTCTGAGAAGCTACAGTGGTATCATTACTGCAGAACAATCGGTCCATGTGTCCTGTTGGAGGGTAAACCTGAGGCGGTGCAGTACACATTGGATTGTACGTTACTATGGAATTATGACTTTACTGTATTTATTTAAGTGAGAACCCAAGATGAAGGGTCAAAGTCCACAATGCAAGGCATGACCAAGGTTCAAAAGAATACATGAGAGAGTAGGTTATTTCAAGAAGTGATCAGGTAAGATCAAGTTTGGGTTTTGAACACCTCTATAATGTGTGAAGAAAAGAAGCCTGAGGAAGTTTGGAATCCACAATCTCGAGGACCTGGGCCAGAATGAGTTGAGTTGGAGAAAGTATGATCTTTTTGGATTTCAATACAGTGAAGATTCAGAGGGGAATAAAGCAGTGCTGGACAGTGCATGTGGAAACACATGCACAACAGAGGAAACTTTGAATACTATATTTCACAGTAAAGCTATAGGGATGTCAAAATGCTTACATGTATAACAGAACTATAGTTAAAAAGACATCCAATGAGCCGAAGTAAATGGAGCCAGTCTGCATCCTTCTGTGAACTTAACTTGGACATTCTGTTCAGCAAGCAGTAATTGCTTATTCCTTCACCAAAGCACTCTTAAGAGGCAGGNTTTTTTTTAACATACAGAACATGTACGACATGTAGACACACTGCAAAATCACATCGGTACAAGGAGAGTTATTTTATAATAATCCATAAAAGTCACAAGTCAACCAAGCTTCCAGGGAGCTCAGTATTCCTCAATTTATGATCTTTCTGATATGCGCCTTACTCTCCCACCTCACTTCTTTCATAAGAAAAACTCACTGTGCAGACACACATCTTAGTACAGCACTGCCCTAATTTCTAAAAGTCAATGAGCTAATAGCAGTACCTGTAACATGGAAAACAGACAGTGGCTGATGATCTATTACATGTAACTTACTGTAGGACAAAAATAGTAATGTTATACCCAGTTATCCGACGTTTGACTGGAACAGATTTCTAAATACAGTATAGATTGTTTTTTTAATACACTAAATCTAGGTAGGCTTGTTACAAAAAAAATACTCTGTTGAAACCTTCTCAATGGAATGTTTTTCTATTGTCGCTGTTAGTTATCACCATTCTGGACACTGAGAGCATGAAATCCCCGAAGATGTTAAGTATTGTGACACTGGCAATATATAGTTAGAATGTTACTCATTTTTTCAAATAGCTCTGTGTCAAGAAACAGAACAAGGGGTGCTTACCAATGTTGTGATGCCTGATCAAAGTTACAATGAGGTTCTTACTGAGAAGCAATACACTTCTCAAACTGGAATTTTTAAGTTAATTGCAACTTCTCATTATGAAATTCATAAGCTGCAAATCGCGAATTCCAAGCCAACAAAGTCTGGAAAAAGACAGAAGGGGAAATCTCCATGGGGACTTGGTTTGCCCATGGGACTTTCTGAAACCTTTGCTAAAGTTACTAAGCTGGGTAACCATTCTGTTTTTGCTAGGTTCTTGAAGAATCATGTCAATTCAACACACATTGTTAAGAGTAGCAACTGTATCATAAGAGTTAAAGTGCTTCGCCTGTTATAGTGGTGAAGCAAAAGTTTTAATACAAACATTGTAGAATCTGAACAACATTTTCATTGTAGTGGGAGTATAATGGATATGCATTTATAACGCTTGTTAAGATCCCTAAGTGACTATTAATTACTTTTTATTTACAACCACTGATAAACTGCACTGGGATTTGATAACATCATAGTATGTACTATTGGTCCTGACTGGAAGTCAGGGACTATGGTTGGCAAAAGATCCCATGGAATTTTTTATGATGATTGTGCTTTGTGCAAGCCATATTGGGATGCCTTCAGTCACTGAATTGACCAGACATAAAGGAGAAAACAGGGGCATCTATTCTAAGAACCTTAGATTCGTGATTAACTAGCAAAAGCCAGATGCAATAATGGAAAGTTGCAACGCACATAAAAGATGTAGATATTCAAGGGCCTTCATTGTCTGGGATCTCAAAGGGAATTTAGGTGGGAGACAGGGGATGTGTAAAATGGTATCTTGCGGAGGAAAGTGAAAAGATAATTCTGTCAAACATTCATAGGCACTGTCAAATAAGTTGAAAAGCAGAAAAATGAAAAATAGTACATGAAAACAGAAATGAATATATATAATACAGTTTTATCTCTCTCTATATATAGACACAGCATTACACACATTTAATGAGCCTACAGAAGTATTGTCCTTTTTTATATTTCCTGCAGTAGAATTTTATTATAGTGTGGTTCACTTATAACATAAGGTACGTACCCCAATATTTATTTGCCACAAATTCCAAAAGCCTGGCTAAATAATGGACAACTTCCTGATTATCAGGTCACTGTTTTCAGTTAGTGATGTCAGCAGCAACCTGGTGATCTGAATGTTGGCCATTTTATTTTCTAGCACAGGAAGCCGGCCAGCTCTCTGCACGGATGCTCAGTGCTGACTGGCCTGGCAATTGTACCCTTTTATAAGGCAAGATTGGATTGGAATCTAAATACTATCTTAAACGGGGTTCTACTGTAATAACTATTCTGGCAAGAAGATTGCAGGAGGCTATGATGGAAAAAAATCCCAGAGAGCTTCAATAAAGTGACACAAAATTAATTCATAATAGTCATAGCAAGAAATAGCAAGCAAGGGAAATCTAAAAATTAATTGGAACAACACATCCATATCCCTATTGCTAAGAGAAGGAAAATTACAAAGACTGCAACCAACATCAGTTAATTTAGAAGCTCGTGATGAGGATGATTATGTTATCTCTGAGAATGTTTACAAGCGAGAGATGCAGAGGAGATACATTGCTTCACCCTACAAAGGTACTTGGACTAATTTCTCTGCAAATTCTCAATACAAAACCATTTCAGCAGAGTGCATTCCAAGTCCAGCGGCTAACTGCCTGATGGAAGTTGCCATACTGAGCAGACCACCGAGGCTCAAGACCCATTCATCATGGAAGAGGTTCTAACCTTTCAGCCTGCGGCAGAGGTAAAGTACTATGAAGTCCCTGTATTGCCGCACTACATGAATGAATGCAACTGTTTCATTACAGACAATGATGGGACTGTACAATCTTACAGTAGTAGCTATGTGGGCGACAGTAATAAACCTACAGTATTTTAAAAATCTTCATTGATGTTATATATTCAGTATATTATTCATTTCAAATGTTTATATCTCTGAAACATAATATGCTAAGTCACTCTTGCTTTCACTTTACTTTTTAGGTAGTGCTTGCTAAATTGAAACAATTCTTGGATTATATATGTTCCCTTAAAGATTACAGAAAAATATTGAACTTTTAGTTGGGGAAAAATATCTTTTGTGCATATGATGTGCTTCGGTATTGCAAGCTTTTTGTTACTTGTTCTAAGCTTTTTGTGCCTTGTAGTTTAGTGTATCAACCCAGATTGAGTTAGGCCAGTATCCCCTCAATAAGTTCAGAAAGGCCTTTTTCAGCCTTGAAGAGAGATTTACTGAGGGGTAAGGTGAATGGGCACGGATTGAGAAGATATCCAAGAGTCTAATAAACTGGTAGAACAGGAAGTAGAATGGCCATCTCCTGTTTTTCTATGTTTCTATATGATTTCCCCACCGCCCCCACCCCCAGAAAACGTGCCAACGATGTTCTTTAAATAGTAAATGGAATGTGTTTAGGAAAACTGCATTTCCATAATTATGATCATCAATAAAGCAATTGTTTTGTTTGTGTCTGGTTTGCCTTCTTGAATTTTTGATGTTCCAAAATAAATCCCAATTTTCACCAAATACCAGAATGTGTTAATTTCCCCTCTTAACTCCAATTTAAATTAAGAATACAATATAGACCCCCATTATATAATATGTTTTTATTTTATAAGTTGTTACAGACCTGGTGTATTGGGCACAAAGGGTTAAACAAACATATTTTGCATGTAGCCGATGGATTTGCACTCCTTTGACGCTCAGTCTGAATCTTAAAACCCCAGCAGCTGGGATTCCGAGCACAAACTTGGTCAAAGCAGATTCTTAAATACAAAGCAATCCTTATTACCAGTTTGCTTCAATCTCATGTTCTAGCTGGTGAAATAAAGCATCAACTTAAATAAAATTTGTTTTTAGCATCTTCAGACTCATCATCATTAAAGAAGTACCTTTGGCATGCAAGAGAAAGCCAGTTTCCTTTGTTCTATATTCAGTTTATTATAGGATAGCAAGAGAACTTCCAGTGAGTCAGAGGTCAGTTATTCAGTTACACAATATTATTTCTACATTTCTACTCTACAGGAATTAAACTTCATGAATCATTCTAAGATTCTTTTTAAGATTTCCTAATTCAAATTATTTGCACTCTTCTGTACTATTTCTTTCTGATTTCATTTGGTTGCTGTATCTATAGATAAAATTATTTTGACTGAGCTGGCTAAATTCAGTGTTGGATTGTGATAATTTTATCTTTCGAAAGAGACTGGCACAATTTCCAGAGACGGCACTGATAATATATTAATTATTGAGTGTTGTGCTGTTAAATCCTGAAAAGTGGAATCCTAAGTGAAAGTCATATATTACCAAAAGCAAGGGATTCCAGATCATAGAAGATCACAATCTGCTGATGTGAAATGTATGGATGCCTTAATACAATTAAATATTCTTGAATTGAAACACTAGGAATAAATCAATACATTTCTTATTTTTATAAAAATGCAATTACATGAACTCCTGTATAAAGTACTATACATTCAGTTATTGCATAAATACACTCCAATCAGAAAGGCTGGAATACATTTAGCCATTTGATCTGATTTTAAATCAACAACATTTTTTAAGGCGGTTCACACATCACATTGTAAAGGAATACTTCAGCTGTAAATGTGCCTAAATAACTAATGGTACAGGTGGTAACTCACCTGAAAGCTGTAAGGTATTCCACATCTCCCATAGGGGGATCTAAACCACCTGTCCAAGCGATGTTCACAGTGAAACCTTCACCAAGGCCACTTCCGACCTGAAAATAGGAACACATCAAGGAAGAAAATATTTTTTGGGGAAAAAATATAGCTTTGAAACTAACATCAAAGAACATGCGAAAATCAGTCAGACAATGCTTGACAAGCCTTGATTGGGGCCATGCACTTGGGCTGTACTGGGATACGGTCCTGGTGGACAATTTTGCAATCCACAGCAATTTAAAGTGCAACAGCGAAGAATGAGATAATTAGGAATAATCATGCAATGCAATTAGACCAGAACGATAAAAGCAGCAGAGGAGAGAGTAACTTACCTCGTCTGGGGCTCCACTGCCAGGGAAGAAGTTTCCTTCATCATAGCGATGCAGGGAAATATAAAGCACATTGGGGTCACTGTAAAAGGCTTGCTGTGTACCGTTGCCATGGTGAACATCCTGAAGGTGAAAGGAAGCAAATGACAAATGTAATAATGTCCAGCTCTGCTTAAAGGTCAGTTCTGTCCTCTTCCCTTCCCCCTCCTCCTCTTGCTACTAAACTTCCTGAACCTTCAAACAAATTACTGCTTAATGTGCTCATTTTTAAGCTTGTTTCTAGAGTCAGGAAACCACAGCAAACATGCCCTGGAGACTCTGATGAGCAGTCACTGAGAAATCCCAGCTCTTTTATACGCTTAAGAATTTATACTCTGGTCTTTGTGCTATTTGTCTCAGTGATGGAATCTAGCATCCTGCTTTATGCAAGAGTTTTATGACTTATTAACTGCCAACAGTTCAAAGCCCCTTAGGGTCAATTAGGTGCTTGAATTGGCTTCTTAAGAAAGACAAGTGTGATATTACAAAAACACGTATTTTGCAGTACAATCACAATTTAATGAATGGTCTTTTCCCCCACCCTGCCATCTAACAGGAATGAATTTTCAAAAATATTTTTTGGCAAGATCCAGAATGGCAACTATATATAATTGAGTAAAAACTGCAGGCAAAGTACTATAAGGGAGTGACACTGCTTGCACAGGAAGTTACAACAACTTGCACTTATAGAGTACCCCTCACATAGGATATTGTCCCAGAGCGCTTTAAGTACATCAGTCGGTCACTCACTTCAGGCTGTTTGTGGGACATTGCTTTGCGTAAAATTGGCTGCTGCATTAGCCCACAAATACACGGTCACTACACTTTACAGTAAAATCCTGTAAAGTGCTTTGAGACATCTCAACAATGTGATAAGGCGCTATATCAAATGCAAGGATTGTTATTATTATATTCCTATCAGTCTATTTTGAAAAAAATAGATTCCTTAGTGGAATTGAAGCAATCTTGAAAGATATCAGTTGTTTGAATTATTCCGATTACCCTAAATGTTCACAAGCATACTGAGGCCACTTGAAAAATCTTTGAGAATAGTGCCTTTTTCTTCCAACTGAGTACAAACAAACCTTTCAGAATGAAAGGTTTTGTGGCTTGTACTTTTTCAGCGATTAAAACTCTAAATGGTGGCAAAATGATTTATCACCTTCAAAATAAATTGCAGTTAGTTACAGATGGGATCGATTATTATTGGATGCCAAAGCTTATTTCCTAGCATTTTGTTTACTGGCTAGCTTATCTCTTCACTTATCAACATTTAGATTTCTTGAGTCTGATATATTTGCCACAGAAAGGAACATACATACATTTTTATTGTATATAAACATGACCATTTGAAAGAGATTTACACTTATTCCTTATAAATATTACACTGCTTGCAAGTCTACCAGAAAGCTATTTTATAAATACAGTAACCATCAAAACTAACAAATTATGTCTTATGAAACACTTGCTTGTGTACATTCTCAGTGATTCAAACAGGTTAATTATACTGGCATTTGCTTTACTCTCAAAGCCCTTTACTGTATGCTAGCTACAAAAATATATGTTCTTGAAAAACTATGAATGTGAATGTCAGAAATTCATACTGGTATTATAGGTGCTATTATGAACTGCTATTATAAGTGTACTTTTGCATTAATGTTATATCAATGCGGAAACAAAACCATTTGAATAGAACCCTTTAGCAATTACACCATTTCCACTGATGAATAAACCATAGAATTGAATGTTTTCAAGGCTACAAGCTAATCATGAGGTTCAGATGAGATGAGTGTTAGAAATTGTTTTGAATATAGCTCTGCGGTTTATGGTGTCACTTGAACCACAAGTGTAGATCAAATAAAATTGGCCATTCACTTCATAGCTGTTTCTGGGACATTGCTGGGTGCAAATTCGCTGTTGCATTTGCCTACAAAATACGCAGTCATTACACTATGTAGTATATCCTGTGAAGTGCTTTGAAATGTCTCAATGACATAAAAGGCTCTACTGTATATCTAATGTAAAGATTATTATTAATATTAACTTTTAATCACGTCTCAGTGTAATTGCTCTAAAATCATATTCAAGCAATTTTTAGTAATAACATTTCAGGTCTGCTTTTATCCATCACTGACAGTTTAAAGTTTTCTAAAAGTAATATTTTATATTATCAAAAACTATAGAGTAAACAATAGGGTATAACATAAATTTTTATGGACTTTGCTCATATGATTTACCATTTTATCTAAAACCTATAACAAAGCTATCATTCACTTGCTTCTCTCTGGAACACAATCCCTGATTCCTTCCATCTTGTCTCTTCTCTCCCTACCTTTAACGCCCGTCATAAGACCTTTCATTTCGACTGTGCTTTGCTCACTTTCTCTTCCCCCACCCCCCCTACCCCTACCAACATTTTCCTCAGCTAACTACCCACAGTTGGCTCTGTGAAGCACTTTGAGACATTCTACAAAATACATGGTCAAGAAACATACAATATGTGAAACACTTTGAGGCATCCTCCTGATGTGAATGGTGCTATATAAATGTAAAATTGTTGTTGTTCTGCTATTTGTAATCGTATGTGGTACCATTGGTTGATTTCCCCAATGGGCATGAAGTTCAGTTTCTTAGGTCAGTCAATGAATTTGCCATTGAATTTACTGCATCTGACATTACTATTGTGGACTCCTTACAAGTACGTGAAGTTTTATATACTAATGGCAGCACATGAAAGGATGACAGTGTTACTCATTAGGAATGACATGTTATATAAAACATTGAAAATATCAGAGGATTAGTTGGCACAGTGAATTAGTGTGCTGTCCCCTGGGACCTGGGTTTGAATGCATCCCAGACTGATGGGATAAATGTTTCCTCTCTCTGACGGCTGTAAAGATCTTCCGATGTGAAGTTTTGGCAGGGTTGATCAAACTTTGTGTGTGAGTCCACAGCAAAAAAGGCATGCATTTTGCACTGTTTCTCACTAAATTAACGGAGGCAACAAGCATAGCTGAGGGTAGTATGCATTGCTGGGGTAGAGGAAAGAGAATTTAACCTTGTGACCAAGGAGTACAAAACTAGGAACATTTTTCATTATCCAATCCTAATATATAATCTAGATGAATACACAGTTCACTAACAAATACAAGTTCATCCATGATTTATTATATCCAGGTCCTACTACTCTATTGCTCTGCTTGCTGAACTCTCCGGCTCTTCCCTACAAAACTGCAGACAATCGAGAAATCTACAGCCCGTATCTTCTCCCACATCAGGCTGCACAATCCTCCCTATCACCTCCATCTTCCCTTGACTCCATTGGCGCCCCATCCCCCCAATGGATTGAGTTCAAGATTCAAGTTCAATGAATTCACATTTAAATCTCTCCACTCTCTTGCCCCATCCTTACCTCTATGGCCTCCTCAAACCATACACACTCAGTTGTTCCCTTCGCTCAGCCTGCTTTGTGTCCCCACAATCGACGATCAGCCTTTCAATCTATCTACCCACATTCTCCAGATCTCCATCCTGGAATCCTTCTGACTTGCTCCCTTCCACACTGCATTCGAACTCCTTCTCTACCTCTTTGACTGTGCTTTCACTCATCTTACCCTTCTCCACCTCTTTGGCTCCCATCCCCAGCTCAGGTGTCTAGCCTGTTAAGCTCCTTGGGACATTCTCCTGACATGAAAGGCGCTATATAAATTTGTGTTGTATTGTAACTTTAAGTATTCAAAGCTTCAAAGAAGTTTTGATCTATCAATATTTTTATGCATTGTTTGTAAAGGGAACTGTTTACTTATACTGAGGTAAGAGTAATAGGTTAATAGTAAGGAGGTGCAGTATTCTAACATTGAGTTCTATTCAGAAGATCTACCAGTAAGAGACATAACTTTCAAGCACTACAGCTTCCTTACTTCCTTAGTTGACAATTGCACCAGTTGACACAGCACTTGCCCTTCAGAGAAGAAGGTGACTAGTTCAAATTGGTCTGCACTGAGCAAGCTGGAGGCAGTCCAGGTACTAAAATTAACCTCTGTACTCAAGTTAGTGAGGAGACAATCAACCAGGACTCTCATTCCTAATTGCTACCCATGGACCAAAAAGGGGCACATGTGAAGACAAAATTGGCTTGCCTGTGATGCTCCCCGCACGTATTTGTTGTGCACCTTACTTTGATCAATAAATTAGCAATCTTTTGGTTCTGTTAGTTTAGTATGAGAACGTTCACACGTAAATAATTGTCAGATGGATGGTTCCTGAATATGCCTGATTCTCATGGAACTGTACCTCAATAGAAGAATAAAATCAAATACCAAATGAAGTTTCTCCCAGTATCTTGGTAAAGGGATTGTGGGATGGAGTTCCAAAGGGTGGGGGCAGAGAGGCTGAAAGCCCGGTTGTCGATGGTAACTCCTGTGAAGCACTTTGAAACATTTCAATAACATAATAAGGCACCATATCAAATGAAAGGATTATTTTAAAACAAGAGGGCAGTGGGAATATAATATATATATATGTAATCGTTGCATTTGATATAGCGTTTTTCACGTCTTCTAGACGTCTCAAAGCGCTTCACAGAATATACTGTAAAGTGAATTAACTGTATATTTTGTGGATAAAACGGGGCTGCCAATTGAGCATAACAATCGTGGCTTGAAGTGACCAATTTATTATTGTTTTTTTTCTTGAGACATTATTATCAGACGTGTGGAGTAAGCAAACTTGCCCAAGGTTTCGCCCTGCCGGGAATCGATCCCACGTCTCTCGCTTGCGAGGCGCATGCTCTAACCACCTCTAACTACAGGACTACAGGGAAAATAGGTAAAAAGAATGTCGGATTGTAAAACTGACTTTACTGAACAAATATGTGTGTCAGATACACAGATATTTCAGCCTCAAGATTTTCAGCAACTCTACCTGAAGTGGCTATTTTGTGCATTCACTGGGATTATTATCCTAGATTTTATGATGTCAGGGGATACCAGTTTCAAAACTGTTTAGTTTTACCTAAATAGAGAATTTTCTGTTTAATGACAGACTTGAATCATGTTCAACCATGTGAACAATTGGAGTACTCTAAGTGTAATTATGATGGAGAGAAAATAAGTTGTAATTATTTGTAGGATACTCACAGGTGCTCCTGTTTATACATGTCAGGAAATATGTGCCTGATTTGAAAACATTGAGGGTAATATGCTGCTGGAATATTGTCAATATACATTTTCAATTGATATACTATGGTTTATTGGTATTGGAACATGAATACAATAGTCACCATTGTTCGCCTACAAAATAAACACAGTCATCACCGTTTTATAGTAATAATAATAAGCATTATATTTGTTATAGTGCCTTCCACATTGAGAGGATGTCTCAAAGCATATATAGTGCACTCTATGTGGTGCTTTAAGATGTCTTGATGACTTGATAAGGCGCTAAATCAAGTGCAAGGATTATTAATATTATTATTAAATACAATCAGACTGTTGTAACAGAATGATGCGGGTCCAGAAAATCAGACCACAGGTTACAATCAGCTACAAAAATGGCCATTAATGACATTACTTCCTGCTTGCTGCCCATGCACAGAAAGTCGACCAGTCAGTGCCTGAAAGCACTGCCAGAATTTGGCAACCAATGCTGTGGAATTGCACCACAGAATGAGGAGGCTGGTGACCAGGCACTCAGAGGCATATGCCAATGGGGAGGAAATTAGGAAACAATTGGACACATTACATTTAAAAGAAAAAAATGCTTTAAAAATAACAGGACATTGTGGTTATCATTACGTCTCCTTGTTCTGGCATTTTTCTCTATATTCCACAGGGATATATCCAAAACACACAGTCACTGCACGTTACAATAAATCCTGAGAAGCGCTTTGAGACGTCCCCTGATATGAAAGGTGCTATATTAAATGCAAGGATTATTATTTTAACTGCACCACCTTGACATGCTTGTGTTTCTATTCTGAGTCTGGAAGCTTTATAATCATACTGACTCCCTGACCCGTAGGCCAAAAAGGCGACAGCCCAAGGAAACACATCCCCAGTTTAAACATACACAGTATCCAGCCATGACTGAAGACAGTAATATCTTTACCAAACAGAATATTCATCGATGGGATGTATGACCACATTGCACCCTGAATCCCACAAATACATACCCAGTCCACAATTAGGATCTTGCCTATATTTAGCTTGTGCTTCAAATACTTGGCAGTAATTGCCACAGAATTAAAGAAGCAGAATCCCCTGAGGAATGGAGAAAAGAGAGAAATGAAAAGGCAAATCTGTCAGGAAAATAGTTATAAATAATGATCTGGGGCATTTTTTAAAAAATGCTATATGATCTCTGTGGCCATAAATCTGCTCTGGGAGTACCTAGAAAGCTTTTCCTTTTGGGTTTTACAGGCATCTGTTAATAATTAGAATGCTGTAGAGGCCAGAGCTACGCAGGTGACTGGCAGTAACCCCAGCACTGTTAAAACAGGCAATGCCTCTGGTACTTACATGGCAGCGGACTCTTCAGCATGATGGCCAGGGGGTCTGACAACAGCAAATCCATTCTGTAAAACAGAAAATAAATACTCTTTTAATCTAATGACAGATTTCCCCAGGCTTGGATGTGTTTGTTTACTTTGCTTGGTTTTGTTTTGGTGCATGTAAATTGGAGGTCGACCATAATGGAACAAACAGAACATTTTTCTAGTCTGCATTTGTAAAGCATTCAGCAGTTCAGAGCACGGAGTCAGCACGGTGCCATTTCTAGGCCAGCAAGAGCAGAAAATTAAAATTAACTCTCCCACCCCCCCACCCCCCACATCCACCCCCACTGCAATTACTTCACATGCAATTGAAGGGAAACAGACCCAGGAAAAAAAGAAGAAAGGAACATGTCATCACAATGTCTTGCACAATCCTTGCATATATGCCAAATAATTCTTGCTTTCTGATTATACTTTTTTGCAGTGCAGTTGGCTCAGAACTCATCTGCCATTTAAAAGGGTTTTTACAGCAATAGTGAGAGTGCTAAATTTATCTAGCACCCTCACCCTCTTTCTGAACATGCCCCCATGTTCAGAAGGAGAAAAATCAATCTAAGCTTCCAATTTTGTTCAGAAGATGCACTTATGTGGTTCTTAAGTCAAAATAGCATTGGGTTCAACTATGAGCTCTCCCTCCCACACCATGATCAGATAGTCTGCAGACATCCTCTGTTAAAGCTTGCACCTCAGGAATGGATGTCTGCTCGGGTAGAATACGCGATGGATACAGAACCATATTCCAGGATAAGCCAAAGCTTTGAGAAGAGAGGAGAAAAAGAAACTCATTGGGAATAGGGAAAAGGGATGTTGCCTGAATTGCTGTTACTGTTAATCTGTCTCTCCAGCTTCTGAGCTATGTACTGTGGTCTGATGAGCATGTTTGCTGGTTAGAGGAATGTTATCACTCCATTGCTCTCTTTGCACTGTACTGTGGAAGTCTTGATCCCAGCACTAGGGTAAATCTATTTATTCCAATCAATTCTTGAGACTAATAATAGAACAGAATACCACAGCACCAAATGTTAGGTCCATTTCTCTGCATTGAAGAACATGTGGGTAGTGACATCTAGTGACAAAAAGAATCTTTTTAAAATGTAAATGAAGCTATGTGGCAAGTGCCTTCTGAAATGAAGATATGAACTCTCCAACCATCTCTATAATTCATCGCTGACTGCTTCTTATTAATGAACCATGTACTCGGTTACTGCTGCAGAAACAAGCATCAGAGCTTCAGCAGCTGCTCATGTTGTTTCATAGATTTTAACTTGTCCAACTTAGTTTTAAAGTGCTCAGATTGCATTTTGCCCAGCACTCTTGTCTGCTTAATTGTTCATTAAATAAAAAGTTTTACTTTTAACTTTATACCATTTACCCGTTGAATCAGAATTGATGTAGTTGACATGGTTATTAAAATATTGTATTAACTTCTAGGCTGTAATGACATTTGTATTTGGAGTTATTCAGTGAAAGGAAAAAGATTTGTAATGATGAATGAACAAGTTGCAACATCTTAGAAAGTGAAGTAGGTCTAGTTCCCCTTAGCTGATGGATTTCTAATTATTACAACAGAATGTTTCAAATCATTTAGCCCTTATCAGACAGGAGAAATCTCTGAATGGGACATGCTCAGCATTCCCTTCACTCAGTCATTTCTGACACTCATGACTGAGGATACTGGAAAGGTTACCAGGATTTTACTATGAAGTGTAATGTATTTTGTTGGCGAGGTGATACTGAGATCCTGCCTGCCTTTTCAGGTGTACATTTAAGATCCTATGACAATATTTGAAAAGAACAAGGAGTTTCTCTTGGTTTCTTGGCCAACAGTCATCCAGACAAAATGTTGTGATTCACTTCACAGCTGTTGTGTTTCACCTGCAAATTACACAGTCACTATAATTTACCTTTAAAATATTTTGAGATGTGAAAACAATACATACCAAATGCAAGGCTTATATAAATAGAAGTTATTTCCACCCCCCCCCACCCTAATATCAGCGACATATCAATTTGTGAAAGCTGAAGCTTGTTATTCGGGTTAGCCATAGATTTGGTAACTGCAGAATGGCCAGTGTATACACTCTTGGTGTGGAGTCAGTAGGACAAGGCTAGAAGTTTTTATAAAATTTGAATTAGGATGAATGTGGAGAGTTGGAATGGTCATTTTCACATTTAATGGTCTTCTTCAGAGGGATTATGATATTGAGGCAAAATTGCATTGGGGGAGTATACACCTGAAATAAAATCAGTTTATTGCTCTTGAGAATGAGATATTGTTTTCAAAACTGGGCGAAGAGAAGATACAGTCATATAAAAATTGAGGGACTGAAATTGTAAACTAATTTATATTCACGAGAATATAGGGAAAGGGGAAGGAGAGATTATTATTGAAAATAACAGTGATTTAGGAATTTTGGAAAGAGATCTCTGTCCAGTTGAGGGTTTGTGGTCATAAGACTTGATCTCTGACTTAAGAAAACTCCTTCTGAGGTTCAGCATTAACCAATAAAATGAAATCTCACAAGTGTTCCCTATTTGTACTCTGGGATTTCTGTAGATTACATATTTATCATGTCTGGGTTTGTTCCATTTTCGACTATGAGGTTAAATACACCAAAAACATCTGCTTTATCTTCAGGTTGAATTGCAGCCACATGAGGGGTTTCACCCATCACAGTATATTTACAGCTCAGACAGAGGACATTCAGCACATTGTGCCTATTCTTGTGCTATTCTAATCTCAGTTTATGTGCTTTACCCCTAGCCATTAATATTATTTTTCCTCGAGCATTTTTTCCAATTCGCTTTTGAAAACCATTCTCACCTCTGAGTCAGAAGGCTTTGGCTTCAAGTCCGATGTTGGGACTTGGAATCACATAGTCTAATCTGACAATCCAATACAGTTCTGTGTGTGTGTTGCATTACCAGAGGTGCCATCCTTTGTACGAGATGTTAAACCACCTGTCTGTTCCCATGGTACATTCGAAAAAGAGAAGGGAATTTCTCCCGGTGTACTGGCCAACGCTCCCCCAAATAAAATGGTCACTCACTGCATGGCTGTTTGTGGGATATTGTTGTGTGCAAATAGGCTGCTGTGCTTGCCTACAAAATACACAGACAATTCACTTTACAGTATGTTCTGTGAAGCGCTTTGAGGCGTCTCAATGATGTGATAAGGTGCTATATCAAAGGCAAGGATTATTATTACTAAAAGCTTCTGTCGACTGAGCTTCAGCAGAGTTATTTGACCATTGGTGCTTTTACTGATCTTTCCCAGAGTCCGTTTCTAATGCAAAATCTTATTTTAATTGCCACCAAAGATATGTAAATTTGCTAAAAATCAGAGAATAACATTCAAACGTGCAGTCTTCCCTTAAACTGCTAAGTTATAGAATCATAGAAAGCATTGCATAGGAAGAGACCATATGGTTCATCTAGCATAAACTGATGCTAGGTCAGGCTTTCGACATATCTACCCCCGGTCTTTGGAACTCCATCCGGAAATCCCTTTGACTCACCTCTTCCCTTTTTGAAGATTTGCTTGAAGACCTTCCTCTTTGACCGCCCTTTTGTCCATCTTCCCTCTCATCCTCTCCACAACCCTTGCCACCACCCCTAAGTCCCCATCCTAAGCCCCCACCCCCAGTTTGAGTGCAAACTCTGCACTGACCAGCACCTTGGGACATCCAAGGGTGGCAGGGTGAAACCTTGGGCAAGTTTCCTTACTCCACATGCCTAATAATAATCCCTCAAACAAAACAAAAAAATCCCTCAAACAAAACAAAATAAAACAAAACAAATAAATTGGTTATTTTCAATCCACGACTGTTTGTGGGACACTGCTGTGCACAATTGGCTGCCGCGTTTCGCCCACAAATATACAGTCAATTCACTTTACAGTATATTCGGTGAAGCGCTTTGAGACGTCTAGAAGACGTAAAAAGCGCTATATCAAATGCAAGGATTATTATTATTATTATCCTCCTGATGCAAAAGGCGCTATATAAATGTAAATCTGTATTGTATTGTAGATCACCCACTGGAGCTAATTACTCTAATCCCAATTTCCTGCTCTTTCCCTGTTCCTTTTATATTCTTCCTCTTCAAATATTTATCCAATTCCCTTTTAAATTATTATTATTATAAATATTGTTGTGGTCTCAACCTCAAATAGTCACTTGTGCCAAAGCATTCCATTTTGTAATAACTCTGTGAATGAAAAAGTTCACCTAACCTCTCCCTTAACTCTCTCAGTAACAACCCGGAATTTATGCACCCACATCAAGCATCAGAAAAAATCTTTCACTACCTATCCACTTGCAATCTTTCAGAATATTAGATCCCGTCTTAACCTTCTCTGTTCTATCAGAAACAGATCCAGTTATTCAAGCCTCAGAGCTATAACCTCATCCATGGTATCATCTGTGTGAACCTATTTTGAATGTACTCATCACATGTGTGTTTTGCAAAAACATTCCACGGTGTAAAAACGACAGTAATGGTGTGAGAAACTATTTTTCTTGAAGACTTCAATAAAGCGCTGTCCTACTTTTTGTATATTTTCTTTTGTGCTGTTATAAAATTTTAACAAAAAAGGTAGTTAAAAAAACATAAACTGATCCTATGTAACCTTCAGCTGGGTCAAGGCTGTATAAACGTAAAACTCCATACCAAGTCTGAATTTGCCACAGACAGCTTGTATCGGGAATATTTTTTTCAGGAAATAAAGGTTTACCATACATTTTAGTACAAAGAAAAATGAAGTTAAAGGATCAGTAGGAGAAAGACAATGAACTGCAGTTACAATTAATCTGTTCCACAGTGTGCCAGATTTTGTGCACCATTACACTTCAGATCAACAGTTTTTCAGTCAACCAGTTCTTTCCCAACGAACTGGCTTCACTATTTGATTTAACTTTCCCTGTCTCTTGTTTCCTCAGTCGTTCCCACACACAACGTTACCGGACCTCACCTTTAGCTCTCCAGAGGCCACTTTGGAAGCCAGCTCAATGACACAGCCAACGGCCATGCGTGCAGCACTGGATGAGTGCATCTCATTCCAAATGGTGTCACTGTCCACCTGAGCAAACAGACGGCAAAGAGAAACAAATCTGTGAGGGAGGGCTGGCAGGATGACAGCCAATGTACAATAACATTAGTCTTCCTTCTTGGCCAGCTGAATGGACCTTCTGGACACGGGTTGCTTATGCTTTTTTATACAGAGCCATGTCCAATGGAAATACATTCCTGTCATGCCTCACTGCCATTCAGTGTTTAGACTCCTCATTACAAACAACATTACATGCATGGGCCGGATCTGGCTTACTAGCAAGGCTGTTATACACAGGCCACAGCAGTGGTTTGACATGAGCCAGGTCTATGGTATGTGAATGGCTATTTTACGCAAGTGCCAAAGAAATTGAAAAGAAAACCAACTGAATGTTTACCACGACAGATACTAACTGAAAGCACACTCAGCAATTTCCAAAGCATTACAGTTTTCAGAAAAAAATATTATTTTACCTCAGTTATTTAATCATGCCTAACAATTTTTTAATTAAATTAGGGCGCAATACCAACTAGATGATGCACTTCAAGCATATCTGTTTACTCATCAGATATAAACAAAAGAATGAAATGGTAGTGTACCGTTTCCGATAATATTAAAAGCTTTAGAAATATCAGTACGTTGCTAGCTTGCAATTCCGTCTAACCCTCCTCTCTGTCTGTGCTCAAACCTATCTCTTCGATGGTGCCTACGGTCATTTCTTACCTTCCCCCACACACACCTCCCCCTCTCCTGCTCGACCTCTGACCCTATGCTGGTAAAGCACTCTGAGACGTTATCCTACATGAATGCGCTATGTAAATTCAAGTTGTTACTGTAGCTTCTAAAATTTCGCCCACAGAATACATAGTCAATTGACTTCACTGTATATTCTGTGAAAAGTTTTGAGACGTCTCAAAGATGTGATAAGGCGCTATATCAAATGCAAGGATTATTATAAATTAATGTAATGGTGGTGTGTGAAAAGATGATGTTAACTAAGATGTGTAAACTGTTTAAAAACAACACTGCAATTTCCTGTAACAAAAGACTGGCTGCAGGTGTGAACCTTTGACTGCAGTACAATGGATGAAACCAAAATTAGTCCAAAAATGTCAATATTGTTGTTGATGATCATACAGTAAAGAGTTTGTGTTGCTTCAAAGGATGGCGTTTGATCTCCAATTGGAGCTAAATTTGGAGTTCAAACTGCTATCCCATGAAGTGGAAAGCTACATTTTGCATATGAAATCTTCTGACTGGTTCAGGACTCGATTGCTTTTATTTACCAATTAGAAATTGTAGTGATTCTTAGGAGATTTAAACGTCTTAATTACCATGTTAAATGTGTTATAAACTTTGCAAATGTCACTCCCATATCCTGATCTTCTTTGCTTTCAAATTTATTTATATGTAAAAGTGGTAATATCATTTCACAATTAGATATACACAGATATCACTGAATTAATGCATTATACTGATGTGTGACAAGCACTGCTCATTGGAAATAGATAATCATATTGAAAATTATTCCCTTTCTTCATAGGGCACAGTAATGCAAAGTTAATAGTCACTGGACTCGTTCTTTGGTTTGAACACTTACAGGCTCAGATAACGTCAGTTAGTAATTAAATCAGTTATTTTTACCAGTAAGTCTTTTGAGCTTACATAAAAAGGATGAAGAAAAATAAAATGGAGATGTTTTAAACTGTGCCACATAATGTTAGCATTACACTTGGCAGAATTGTCTTTTGTGACAGTTTAAGGGGAAAACATTCTCTCTGGCAACTTCTCTGGAGGCAGCTGGTGAGATTTGAGTATCACTAAATCCCAAACTCACTGGGCAGTTCAGTAATATTATTTGTCATGCAGGATTTAGTATACAGGGTGCTTTCTATAAAGAATAACAATGGGAGGTATTCTGCCTTGTATGCTGTATGGAGTGAATGCATTGCTTTGGGGTGAACCCTGTTCTGCTCCATTTAATAAGCCTTCCAAATTTGTCCTAGTGCCCTTACAAATAAATGCAATGCAATTTTAAATTCTAAATAACATTACACTGTAAAGCTAAAATTACATTACACAGTTAAACTTGCAGTACATGTATTCATAAGTGCACAGGGACAAACTTGCTACATTTACAGAATAGAGTAGAACAGCGATCAGCTGAAAGCAACCGATATGCTATGTTGAGCCCAAAGTGCAAAATAATCCCCAATGTCTTGTGTAATTTATAAGGAGCAGCAAAGCATGCAAGTATCTATTAAATGCACAGGGTAATATGTACAAAACAGTGAGGTTTATTATATGCTCATGACAGAAAATAGTGGCTTTTTATTAAGTGCTTATAATACGATTTCCTATTGAAATAAGTAATGACAAGGTTGATATTTTTAGTGATTTAACATCTAATAAACTGTAGTATCAGTTTTAACCCTTTTGCTAATATGCATCTATAATTAGTTTTACCTTAAGAAGGCATTAAACTCATGTTCTGCTGTCTTCATATTTAATTCAGAAATTAGTCTTGCCATCAATCTTTTTTAAGCACCAGTTACAAAAGAATCATGATCCACTTTTGGAACGTTTCTTTCAATTGCAAACAATTTCTGTTTATTTTCCTTTGAATGTTTTTGGTTAAATGGTTGGTGAGTGCAGATGATATCATCGGGAAAACTGACTTGCAGTAGATTCTGAGTCCCACAATCTCAATAAAACAATAGCGTTTCACAACCGTGGACAATTTATTTATTTTTTTGCTCCTCAAGTCAAAGGGACTAGGGAATGTAGGACTTTTTTATTTTGAACACAGCCTGTGTCAGCATCAAGCGCTCTTTGGTCAAGCATATCACAGCTATTAGCAGAGTAAAGCTTCCATTAGTATACCCAATAATGTACCTCCAAACAATTCAAAAATGTTCTCCTTTGCACACTAGCAATGCACATGGGCATATTTGAGTGAGGTTGATGATGTAGTGCCAATGAGTGCAAATTTAAAAGTTGTTCTGTATTGCTTGCTCACCAGGAACTAGATTCATATTGTCCAACCTCATATTAGTGGGATTACAACAGCCAGGCAAAGAGTGGAGAGTTTAATAATATAGGAATGTAAAGCACCAGAAAAAGACCGTTGTGATCCATCTGGCAGGTCCAAAAGCTTTCAGCATTCATATTTTCATTCCATTAGTCTGATCTGGATTTGGATTTAAATCCAGATCCCAGAGGTGATCAAATATTCACTGAACCACCCATTCTCCGCCCAGGGCATTTTTTAAGTTTAAAAGACATTAACAATTTTAGCAAAGTAAAAGAAGAACAATAAGCAATAGAAGGAATTCATGTCAACCAAATCACAATGTCAGTCTCCAGATGATCTGAACTGGCTGGTGAAAGAGTTAATGAGCGGATTTTTAAAAAATTGTTTCAATCAAAAGATGTAAACATTAACCCTAGGACATTCCTTTGGTAAAATCAGAATCTGCTGGATTTTTTTTTATCTCCACCTCCTTTAAACAAATAATGTTTCAGGCTGCAGCTTGTATCCTAAGCCATGGGAATGAGAAATACTGAGTGAAGTTTTAAATTAGATACATTTTTATAACTTTTTTTATTTATATTAAAACAAACATTTCAGCTCGCGATTCTACCTGCTAATAATTTGAATTTGGCTGGCATCTCTCTGAAGCAAATCTTTCAGTAAGAAAATCACTTTGAGCGGCTCAGATCATGTCAAATTAATTTTAATGATTCAGTCACTAATCAAAGAGGACCAATGTTATTTTTCTGCCAATTTTACCATCCTGTAGCTTTTAGGTACAATTTCAGTGAATTGCCTCAATTCCGATGATAAAAGTCAACTGGCATCTCTGATGTGTGCTGGCTATTCTCTAGAGTATCAGCAAAGAAACCCTGTCTTATATAAAATCATATCCTGTTTGCAAACATCATATTCCCTCAGCTACCAGCTAATCTAGATACATTAACCCTAGCCAACCTAAGAGCCCATTTCTCATGCAATGTCATGGGTAGGACCCTTTTATATTTTTATGACCCTGTCAAAAAATAATATTTGCTGCCATTGGTGATGATTTGAATTGCCTCCTCTGAGCCGTGCAAAGGAGGAGAAGTCTGTTATCAATTTTGCTAAGCGTGCCTAGAGAATTGTGGATTGTTTAAGATCCAAGCTTTAAATGACAACAAACGCTGCAAAGTCTTTTGAAGCAGCGCAGCTGATGATGGCACCGTCATAAAAGTCAGTCAGTTTCTTATTGCGGCTTTTTTCTTGGTTGCGCCCATCAAGCAGATTAAAGGCTGTGATTATTAAAAAAGAATTGATACAGAGCGGGAGATCAGCAGGATCCCCAGTAGTTTGAACTATGCTGCTATACAAGATTTTTTTGAATAGCTCTATCAACTTATGCAGTTCTTTTATTCCACGGATCTATTTTAGTCTAGTGCAACCTAATTGATCAATTACAAAGTGGTGTCTACAACAAGCAAATCATTGGTGAAAATGTTTTGGTTTTCTAACAAATGATTTCATGTTCGTTGAAGCTCTAAGGATTTGAAAGCTTTTTCTCCTTCAGACGATGCATGGCTCTGTTTCAGCACAAACTGTGGCCTCTAATCTAGAAATTAGGGTTGTTACGATTTTGGCATCAGTAACCACTCTACAAATATTCAAGCTGCAGTTAGTACGTCTCAAACCCACAGGCAATGGAATGATTTGAAGTAGTCATAAATTGCTGTTATAGTGGCAATTGTGAATCATTTCAGCCACAAACCAATTCAGAAATCTTGCAACAATAATAGTCTTATATATGGTATTTACAGCATCACCAAATGACAGTTCTTTCCATTAACCTTAACATTAACAAGCTTTAGCAGCAGTAATATCTGCACAGAATGATGAAGCTACAGAAGATATATTTGAACTCTTGAAATATTCATTGCACCATTCCCTATTGTTAGTAACTTTAGCGTATTATATTACTCTTATTATAGGAGTTTGGTAAAACAATATGTAGAAGACAAAATGAATACCCTAGAAGTTTTATTATATCTTTTACTTCAGGATGAGTCACTAAGCTTTCTTTTATTGCTGTTGTAAGATATATAACAAGACAAATATTTCCACTAGTTTGTAAATCATCTGCACAATGACTGTTACTTCCTGTTTGGTGAGTGGTGAGGTCAACCCTCCAGTCCTACTTGAAAAAAAGTCTAGGAAAGCTTTACTTTACAACATGTTTTTTTGATCACTAAGACCAGGGGCTTCCTTAAGATTTAATGTAGGAGGATATTTGAAAAGACTAATAGAAGAGGCAGCACAAAGTGTCAAATGTAGGGTGCACAAGTGATGCCTTTTCCATCTGGGGGCTAAACATTCATGAATGCTGCTGAGTGACTCGCTGCGTAAGCAGTGTTTTGCTTGAGGAGTTGGGGGAATTCACCAGCTGGCAGGCTTTAATGAAAGGCTGACTAAGACTAATACAGTGCACAAAACGGGTAAAAAAAACTTTAGAACATCCAATAATAAAAGTTATACTTACTCCAAGACCCCCACAGGGGAGAGCAGCAAAGAAATTTTGCGTAACAGATCCTAGGTGAGCGAGGAAAAGAGTAATTAGAGATTCAATTACCATGCTTTGAGTTTTGTATTCTTTCAATTTGCCAAATTCTTGTCATAAGCGGAGGGCACGTAATGGGAGAACATGGAAGAGATGTAGAGGATACAAGAATCACTCTCACTCACAACAACAACAACAAAATTACATTTGTATAGTGCCTTTCACGTCAGGAGGATGTTCCAAGGCGCTGAAAAGTGTTTTGGACCCAAGCAGGGGTTTGTGATTGGGAAGGGTGAAGGGAGAGGGGGGTGAGCAGGGTGATTGAAAGCACGGTAGAAGAGGGGGTTTTGAGATGGATCTTGAAGGAGGCAAGGGAGGGGCCGAAGCGGTGGGACTGTGGGATGGAGTTCCAGAGGGTGGAGGCAGAGTGGCAGAAGGCCCACACACCAATAGTGGAGCGGGCGAGGTGAGGGACGTGAAACAGGCCAGAAGCCACTGAACAGAGGAAGCGGGCAGAATGGTAGGGGGTTAGGAGGTCGCAGAGGTAGTAGGCAGCAAGGCCATGGAGTGCTTTGAAGGTGAGGACCAGGATCTTGAACTGTATCCTCTGTGTGATGGGAAGCCAGTGGAGTCGGGCGAGGATGGGGTGATTGGGTCGTGGAGCCTGGTACAGGAGAAGACATGGGCTGCAGAGTTCTGGATGATCTGCAGCCTATGGGGAGAGGAGTTTGGGAGTACAACAAACAGTGAGTTTGCATAGTCAAGCCTCGATTTTATGAAAGCATGTATGAGGGTTTCAGTGGTCTGTGGTGTGAGACAGTGGTAGAGCCGGGCAATGTTGCGGGGTGGAGGAAGGCAGAGCGGGTCATGGTACAGATTTGGGATAAAAAGGATAGTTGATGGTCAAACAAGGCACCAAGGTTCTGGACTGGCTTAGTAAGGTGGAGTGAGCACCATGGATGGTGATGATGTCAGCGCCTGAGGTGTGGAGCTGCTGACAGGAGCTGATCAGGAGAGCCTCGGTCTTGTTGACGTTCAACTGAAGAAAGTTAGTTCTCATCCAGCACTTGATGTCTGACAGACATTCTGTCAGCACAGCAGTGATCCTGGAGTCAAGGGTGGAGGCAGAGAGGTACATTTGGGTGTCATCCACATACATGTGGAAGCTGACCCCATGTCTATGGATGATGTCACCAAGAGGGAGCATATAAATCTTGAAGAGGAGGGGACCGAGGACAGAGCCCTGAGGAATGTCGCAGGAGACACTGCGGGGGCTAGAGGACAAACCATTTGTGGAGATGTAGTGGAGGTGGTGAGAGAGTTATGATCTGAACCATTCAAGGACAGAGCCGTGAAGGTTGAGGTGAGAGGAGAGGCAGTGGATGAGGATAGAGTGGTCAATGGTATCGAAGGCAGCAGAGAGGTCAAGGAGGACGAGGAGGCAGAGGGAGCCCTGGTCGCAGATGGACGGAATGTAATTTGTCACTTTGACCAGGGCTGTTTCTGTGCAGCGGTCAGCACGGAAACCCGATTGGAGGGGTTCACGAAGGGAGTAGCAGGAGACGAAGTAGCAAAGCTTGAAGAGGAAAGGGAGGTTGGAGATGGTGTGGTAATTTAAGAGCAGGAATGGGCGTAGGGAGGCTTTTTTAAGGATAGGATTGATGAAGGACATTTTTAAAGGGGTGGGAACGGTACCAGTGAACAGGGAGAAGTTTATGAGGTCTGTGAGTAGAGGGGAAAGGAGGTGGAGCTGGGAGATAAGGAGAGAGGTAGGAATAAGGTCAAGAGAGCAAGTTTTGTGAGGGCTATAATGGTGGTGATAGAGGAGTGGGAGACAGGTTCAGAGGTGTGCAGGGAGGAATGGGTAGGGGTCGGGGTGTGAGGGGGAAATCGGAGGGGGTAGTAGATGGAAGGGCAAAGGCAGCTGAGTAGATCCCCTCGACTTTAATTCAAGGAAGTCCAGCATCGCCTCGCAGTTGGCATTCGAGGTGAGGATGGGTGAGGCATGAGAGGATGGACGGAGAAGCCGGTTGGTGATGGAGAAGAGGAGCCTGGGGTTGTCTTTGGCCTCCAAGGTTATCTTGGAGTAGACCGACGATTTACTGGAGTAGAGGGCAGAGTGGTAAGATTCGATAAAATTCAGCTAGATCTGCCAATGGACCGTTAAGTTCGATTTAAGGGAGGTGCATTCAGCGGCATGCACCTGTGCTTTAAGGGAACAGAGATGGCTGGTGTCCCATGGTGACTTTTGTGAATAGGAGACGATTCTGGAAGTGAGTGGAGCAAGGGAATCGAGAGTGGTGGAGAGGCAGCTGTGGAGAAGAGTGACCAAGGAGGATAGGTCATTGCAGGAGGAAGCCTAAAGTGGGAGGATTTCAGATGACTCCAAGTTAGCGGAGAGGGAGTGAGGGGGGGAGATTTTTTTCCAGGGGCGGTAGAAGATGGAGGAGGGTTGGGTTGCGGTGGGGAGAGGGATTGAGAACTTAAGGGAGATGAAGTAATGGTCTGAGATAACCTGACACAAAATGCACAAGAGTATTGTGTGTCAGGTTATCACAGAATATTCACTGTTTATTTCACGTTTACCCTTCGATTATCATGTTTAGGGTCGAAATTTTTTTTCTCAAAATTTGGAGAATTTTGTAAAATGATGCTTCTTTCTATGGAGGCTTACAGAATAGGGCAACAATGCTAACATTTGGGTTATGGTTTGGGTAATGTACGATACAGTACACAAATTGACTATGTGGGTGTTGCTATGCCCCAAGCTTTATATGCCATTTGATTTAGTCATTTAACAAGTCACTTTCAGGACATTAAATGAATCTGGGTACTTGATTTGTTAAGTAACATTTTTATATTGCCATAGATCTATGGCTGAAATTCCACTTGACATTATAAGTTAGTCAATGAGCAATTCTAATGGAAAAATTCCATTAGCAAGCATTATGGCCAAAGCCAAAGGAATTTCAACATACTAGATTACAACGAGCACGATCCCCAGTGTTAGAGAGAGAAACTATGAGGAACAGTTAGATACATAAGGCCTTTTCACTCTTGAAAATAAGTATCTCAAAGAGACTTTACAGTGGTGCATACAATGCTAAATAAGATTTAGAAATGAAACACAGAACCATACTTTTATATATTAAGGCAGCAGAGCAGTACAAGAGGGCAAAGGTTCAGGGTTGCAAAGGGCAATTTTAAGACAGGCCTCAGAAAGTATTTTTTTCCCCAGAAGGGTAAATAATATCTGGAACAGGTTACCAGGAAGGGTGGTTGAAGCCAGGATGCTGGACTTATTTAAGAAACAACTTGAGGCTGTCATGGGATGAGTATGATTGAAGGAAACAATCAAATGAATCAAAGGGACTTCATCTGAACCTTTCTTGTAATCTTGTGAAATCAAATCACTATACAATGAGTAAACACTCTATCACAGAATTGTAAATCTCAGTTATACTCAGAACTTTATATTATTGTAATTATGGTTTCTCAACTGGGTGCTAATTCTGAACATTGCTGTTGGAACTGTTTAAAAATCTTTCACTTTGTAATGTTGGTACTTAAACAGATTTTACAATTGCCCTTTGCTCAATTGACTCTTGACTAAAGAGCATGACTGGGGTCACCAGTCTATTACGAGAAATTCTTCCAGATACCAAGGGCTTTGTCATGACTGTTTGCCTTACCAATTGGATATGCCTTGTGTCAAAACACTCATTGACTTGGCAACCCTCGACCCCCAGGATATGCATGCATTCTTATTCACTTGCTCAGTTCAGTCATAAAGCCTATCTTGAACATTTTTTCCCTCATGCATGGAGGTACAGCCAAAGTAAATGTGAAGTTTACTTAGACTAAAATTATACTTGAGGGAGAATTCCACTTTCAACTTTTAACAGGGTTGATTGCTAGTCTGTCATATTGATTCTTTACTTCTGAAAGGTTTTGCTCTTGGTAGCAACATAAGAAAACAGGAACAGGAGGAGACCAATCAGCCCCTCAAGCCTGTTCCACCGATTTATCTTGGCAGACCTTTAATCTCAATGTTCCACCATTTTTACCATGCCCCTTGTTACCTTTACTAACCCAAGTATCTGTCCCTCTTTTAAACATTCTTATCGATTCCGCCTCTTTTTGGGACAGAGTATTTCATATTCTTTTAGCTATGATGTTAAACTGCAATATTTAATGGAGATCGAGTGCTGTGTTTATTTATAGGTGCATTAGACCAAATAAATACTGTATTTAACATGAATGAGTTACAATACTGACAATTGTTACTACCCAATAAAAGGGTCTAAATTGTGGTGACTTGTAACAAGTTTCCTAAATAACGGATCTGAGTCATCAATAGGGCTTCATCTGGTATCAGGAAACAATTACGCTGACTCACAGAAGTCTGCTCTGAAGCGATCTTCTTCTGGAATGTGAAAATTAAATGAATCGAGAATCAGTTCTATGTCTTAATATGATTTGTTGTATTGTTTGTTAGCCTTCAGCCAAAGTAAGAGCAAATAATGGAACATCATTCCTAAAAATGTGATAAATATGTTGGAAATCGTGACAACTCAACACACTTCTTCCCAAGTGCATTAAAGCTGTACATTGATAGATGACCATTGTGGAATGTGGTGTGCTCTCAGGAACCAAGATCACTAACCAAGCAGTTTCCTCGTGTCCAGCTTTTGCCTGTTGAGGGGATTGGTACCGAAGAGCAGTGAGTGATATTCAGAATGAATCATCTGTATTTCCTCCAAGGTGGCTTTTCGCCCTCGAATTCGCTAAAAGAAGACAAAATATGTGTAAATGTTTTCATGCCAACGTGAAGTCATTTGTAATTCTTACTCTCATTTTTCCCAGTTTTTCCTCCCTCTGATCCCGTAGGTACACACTCGTACGATTGGGAGTATGATTCTGGACTATGATTCCTCAAGAGTACTGGTTGTTTTCTGATATCTCATTCCACGTAGCACTCTCGGAGAGGGAAGGATGAAGCTCGGCTTGGAGGAAAATGGAGCTTGGCAAGGATGGGGGGTGGGGGTAGGGTAATACATCCTGGAGCGTCATGTGGTGAAACCTCCAGAGTGGAGAGCATTTGAAATGCGTGTCTTTGAGGTGTTTCGAGGTGTTTCTGCAGAAATGGGGGTGAGGAAAGGATGTTAAACAAGCTGTGTTACAGTGGTGAAAGAAGGCAGTCAAGGCTTTGGACCAATCATTGAGTCAACCTGATGCCACAGTTGCACACCACTTGGCTCAGCCTGAATGAGCTGACCAGTTGATGAAATCAGAGCCAGGGGCACAGAGGTGACGGAGAAACCCAAACGAAATAGATGACAACATGAAACCAACTAATGTAGTGTGACATTGGCTTCATGAGTGAAATTAATTTTAACCTTTGCCAATAATATGGTTAGAAAAAAGGGTAAACATTAAATCATTTTCAAAGAAATTTTCCAAATAGTAAGGAAGCCTTTTATATTTTGTTTTCCCCATTAAAGAATCAGATCTGACAGACAAAATTTGTTTTAATAAATGTTGGAAAACTCTTAGATTTTACAGTGATCAATTGTTACATCAACCAGTCTCGTTCACGGAATTAACCACTGCTGTAATACGCTCAAAAACAATATGCACCAAAATGTGAATGTTATAACTGTACAAAATACCACAGCCAAGTTCGAAACAGCAACAACATTGTTCAGAAATAAATAATTTAAAAATAGCACAGGCCTTTGGAACAAAATCATGTCACATTAATCAACAAAATAGTCATTTTTCCCAGTTTTTTCCAACATGCTACACTAAATGAGACTATTGTTATTGTTAATAATGTGAGTAAAATCTTTTTGTTTGAGTTGACAATCTGTCTCTTGTTCAGTCATCACATCTGATGAAAGTTTAGTTGATGGGGATTTCTGTTATAAACTCACTGTTATAGGCTTAAGTTCAAAATAGCTGAACTGGGGAGGGTAAAGTTAGTTAGGGTGTCTGCTCCTGATTACTATCCAGTGACCTTTCCTGGAATACGTGTGAAGTATGGATGTGAGGTGAGGATCAGGCCAGGTTGTAATGCCTAGACTCATAACTCGGAGATTGCTCCAGGTTATGAGTTGCCGTACGACATGAAGGATGCTATATAAATGCAAGCTGTTGTTGTTATAGTATTGCTGGCCACTGTGGAACTAAAAACCCCGCTGAAGTCAGAGCAAGTAAAATGGTCGAGCCTCTTTTGTATTAATTCTATTGAAATGCTCCACTTCTCTATGTATTATGGAACATCTTTTTATTTTACAATATTTTAAATCTGCAGATGAAATGTCAAGAGACTTTTGAATAACAATGACCACATTTCTCTTGTATTGTTCTCGTATTCCCTCAGGCTTCTCATTGTCAATTTGGCCCCTGTAATTCAAGAAATCTTTAATCTAGTCTTGGGAAGCATGCATTTGTGCTTCCTTGTCAGACACTGGTCTGAAAATAACTTTTGTATTTTAAAGTTACAAAGCATTCTTGGGGCTTGGAGTAAAAAAATTTAATCTTGCTTTATTTAAAAAAAAGATCAAATTCACGGTGAAAAGCCTGGGGATCAAACGACTTTCCCCAAGTTAGAGGGTGTTCAGTCCCAAACAAATCATTAAGGACTATTATTAGTTGATAGAGCATTACTTAATTGTACCTGGTGAGAATTAAGGAATTTAAATAATTTAGGAGTCCCGCACGTTAATAATAATAATTATTATAATAATCCTTACATTTGATGTCTCAAAATGTTTCACAGGATTTACTCTAACGTGGATTGACTGTGTATTTATAGGTGAATGCAGCAGGTAATTTTGTGCACAACACTGTCCCATAAACAGCCATGAAATGAGTGACCAATTGTATCTGGGGGATTGTTAGTCAGGACACCAGGAGAAACTCCCTTCTCTTTTCGAATAGTCGCACAAGATCATTAACATTCACCTGAACAAGCAGACGGGGTATTATTACCACTGGAAAGCAAGATGACATCAATTAACACCCACATTCCTACTTACTACTAGGTACACAGAGGCGTGTGGAGTAAGCAAACTTGCACTAAGGTTTTGTCCTGCCCGCGAATCAAACCCGAGTCCACATGCTTGCGTGTCGAGTGCTCTAACCAATGCACTACAGGACTCCACTTTTGGGTGGAAACAATCTATCAAAGAAATTGTACATAATTACAGTAGATAACAGTTCTTCCCTTAAAAACATTAAAGTGTAAGCACTGACACCTGGAAGAGTGTTTAAAAATCCCGAAATCTTTACCAGTGCTCTGAGGCATTGGTACACAGTTTGAGAATTTCTCATTTCAGCACGTGGAGACCAGAAACACTTCGTAGTGTAACCTTACCTCACAGTTGTTGAGCAATCCTGTTTCCTGAAGCCTGGACCAGATGCTCTGTACCCTGCCAGCATGCTCGGGGTGGTTGCTGAAGTTACCACAGATGCACTGGTGTTTAAGCATGATAGTATCATAGACCACTCCTGCAGCGGGACATCGACAAAAAGGACAAAGACAAGAAAAAAGTAGACAATTTTGAATCAAGCACAGACTGATTCAAAAAGCAAACAGATAACCACTGATGAGAGGTGCCTCTGCAGCTGAAGATTAACTACTTTGCTGCAGTGATAGTCAGAATTTTATTAAGTTTATGAAGTCGTCTACCCGTCACAGGAATTGGTGACGTGAGTTACAATGGGATTTTACCCATTATGAATGAATGCCACCAACATAGGAGTGAAATTCACTCAGATATTGGTGGCAATTGCTGGAATGATAAAATATGCAGTGTTTTATAATGAATTCATTAAACACAGTGAATATCACCCTATAGTTTCTGGAAAAAATGATTATCTCCTATTGAAATGAAGCACTTAAAATTATGCTGAAATAGTGTTGTTTCTGGCACTGTTTAAGATCAATCCAATTCTTTCAAGTCGATGGATTCTATTACATTAACAGCAGAACACAACAGGTAAATGTGCCATAGAAGTTAGTACCAATAAAAACAAATCTCAACCTTCAAACAAACTGAAACAGAAAATTTGTAATTCGGTTGCTAATACCACAGCCACATATCCTCTGTGATAAAGAAATCTGAAATTGAGAATCTTGTAGAAATTTCTGCATTTTCCAGCAATACTAACGTTGTAGCATTCTAAACGTCAGTTGAATGGCATCTTAAATGTTGGATTTGCAAGCTGGAAGTCATGATCGAGGCTAGTGTTTTACTTTCTGAATCTTTTTTGACTAAGGAAAGGCTAGAAAAGTCGAATAGAGCAGGAAAGCAAAGTGGCCCTTTTTGGTCTTCAGCAACTTTAGGATTCTAAAGTTGGCATTTTGGTGGTATTTATACATTTAAAATCATGAATTGAGAACCAGAACTAACACAACAAATCTATTTTGCAAATATCACATCTGGAGATCCCAATAGCGTGCTGTAGTTATTTCCTAGCAAGCAGGAACGCCTTACCAGGAGCATGGTTGAGGATGATTCTATATTAGCTTTCAAAAGGGAACTAAATATGTACCTGAAAAGGATTAAAGTACAGGCGTAAATGCAGATAAATTAGACTGAAAAGATTGCTCTTAAAATAAGAGCAAGCACAGATAAGTAAGGCCTTCTTTAGTGTTGTAAATTTCTATGGTTCTAAGCTCCGTCTTGGGAGTCCTGACACATGTGGAACGTCAAGAGAGGTCCACCTGATCTCATCCTTACAGAATAGCCACTCTACAGTCTTCCCATCACAGAATCATGCTGCTTTTAAAAATAAGCCCTGGTCTTAACCATCCTTTCTGATAACTTATTACAGTTCTTAACTTAGCTTTGGGAAAATGAATACATCCTTGTGTCTATCCTAGAATTGCCTTTTACAACCCTAAACCGATGTTCTCTTGATCTGCTGTCTCAGTGCATCTGAAAGTATTGTTCTGGATTTACTTTCTCAATCCTTCTTTTCAGAACAAAAATGATATCTTGATAAAGGTCCCCCTTTGAGAGTGAAACTTCTCCTTTAAAGACTAAGTTACTTAAAACAATTATGAGTTTGGATCTGAACCACACTCCTCAAATTTGGAAGGTCAGAAGAAAGACATATGCACACACACGCGCACAAATTCAACAATTTAGGTGAGGCTAGCAGAAGAGAGCATCAGACTATTCAGGAACAACATGCCTTGGATGGATTCCTAGGCCTATTTGATCACCAAGGAAACATAAGCCTCACAAACAGATAGACCTCTACCAATAAACAAATGGGTGGACAGACTCAAGAGAACCACAGTTGCAATATGTACCTCACAGGCAGAGACAATGGGCCAAACCAGAGATGAGACAGAGTTGGACAGAGACATTAATACAAAATGAAGCCATATTGAAGTATTAATAAAAAGAACACATACCTCCAGGAACTCCATTTCAGCCACTGACACAGGATGCAAAATTACATCGAAATGTACGAATGTTTGGCAATACACAGGTGCAGAATGGGTAAATGGAGCAAATCATGCCACAATACATGCACACATTCCTATTTTATTGAATGAAACATGCAATACGATTATTTTCCCCTAAACTGGCCAAATAGTTATTTTAGGTAACCATTCCCTCAGCACATCCTCTGTAATGAAAAGATATCTGAAATGGAGAATCATAAGGACTCTATAGCTATCTTTAAATTAATTAACCAAATGAGAACAGCCACAGATCGTATTTGGGATCTTCCAAGCTTACTTGGTTTCATACTGGTCACTAGTTTTGACAACTGAAACATCGCTCTTATCCTTAAAAAACCCTCCCTGCACCCTTCTCTAATCCGTAACTATCGCCTCATCTCCAACCTCCCCTTCCTCTCCAAGGTCCTGGAACGAGTTGTTGCTTCTCAGCTTCGCTCCTTCCTCTCCCGCCACTCCCTTCTCGAACCGCTCCAATCGGGCTTCTGTGCCACTCACAGCACAGAAAGGGCCCTGGTCAAAGTGACAAATGACATTCATGTCCATCTGCAACCAGGGCTCCCTCAGCCTCCTTGTCGTCCTTGACCTCTCTACTGCTTTTGACAATGTTGACCACTCTATCTTCAACCACCGCCTCTCCTCTCACCTCAACCACCACGGCGCTGTCCTTGACTGGTTCAGATTGTACCTCTCACACCGCCTGCACTTCATCTCCTCAAACTGCTTCTCCTCTAGCACCCGGACCATCTCGCGTGGCTTTACTCAGGGCTCTGTCCTTGGTCCCCTCCTCTTCAATATCTATATGCTCCCTCTTGGTGACATCATCCACAGACATGGGGTCAACTTCCAGATCTATGCGGATGACCACCCAACTCTACCTCTCTGCCTCCACCCTGGACTCCAGGACCACTGCTGTGCTGACAGAATGTCTGTCTGTTAGACATCAAGTCCTGGATGAGAGCTAACTTTCTTCAGTTGAAAGTCAACAAGACCGAGGCTCTCCTGATTGGCTCCCGACAGCACCTCCTCACCTCAGGCGCTAACAGCATCACCATCCATGGTTGCACACTCCACCTTACTAAGCCAATCCGGAACCTTAGGGTCTTGTTTGACCCTCAACTATCCTTTCTACCCCACATCTGCGCCATGACCCGCTCTGCTTTCCCCCACCTCCGCAACATCGTCCAGCTCCAACACTGTCTCACACCGCAGGCCGCCAAAACCCTCATACACGCTTTCATTACATCGAGGCTTGACTATGCAAACTCATTGCTTGTCGGCCTTCCCAACTCCTCCCTCCACAGGCTGCAGATGATCCAGAACTCTGCAGCCCGTGTCCTCTCCCGCACCAGGCTCCGTGACCCTATTACGCCATACTTGCCCAACTCCGCTAGCTTTCCATCACACAGAGGATCCTGGTCCTTACCTTCAAAGCCCTCCACGGTCTTGCTCCCCCCTACCTCTCCAACCTCCTAACCCCCTATAATCCTGTTCGCTCCCTCCGCTCAGCAGGTTCCGGCCTGCTTCACGTCCCCCACCTTGCTCGCCCCACTATTGGCAAGTGGGCCTTCTGCCACTCTGCACCCAGCCTCTGGAACTCCATCCCACTCTCTTTCCATCTCGCCCCATCCCTCGCCACCTTCAAGACCCATCTCAAGACTTTTCTCTTTGACCGTGCTTTCAATCTCCCTACTTCTCCCCTGCCCTCCACCCTCCCTCACCCCTCCCCCCAGCTCGGGTCTGTAAATCTGTTCAGCACCTTGGGATGTCCTCCCGACGTGAAAGGCACTATACAAATGTAATGTTGTTGTTGGGGCAATTCTAAACTTTCTTTGTAATCTAAAACTGTTTAGGAAAAAAAATGCAACTGGTGATAATATCACAAGTTACTTATCTTTTTGGCCAAAAATGTGGTCAAAACTATCTATGATTATTACTCGTCTGTGTGTGTGTGTGTATGTGGGGTGGTGTGGGGGTGGGGAGAGAGTCTACCATGTGTTTAGTATTGTCTGAACTTTTAATCAATGTATTAGTTATCACATGCTGCACTTTCCCTCCTTGTATGTGTACATATGAATATTATGTACTGCAAATGAAATCTGAAGGCTGTCTTGTGGTAGCATACAGGGAACAAAGGTCCTTGTTAACAATGATTTTCCAGATCTGTTAAAACACAGTGTTCTGCAATTTGTCACCACTACGTTGGCAGAAATATTTACCCATTGGCAGATCAGGAAAAGCTTTGTGAATAGGGCTCTAAGGTTAACAGATCAGGAAAAACTTTGTGAAAAAGGTCCTAAGGTTAACAGATCAGGAAAAGTTTTGTGAATAGGGCATTAAGGTGGTAGCCATTGTGTAGCACCTCCTTGACATGCTGCAGCTCTTCCTTCACCATGACATGGTTGTCTCTACAGATAGAAAGGCTTCTGTCTACAAGTGATCCCATGACCCCAATCTCTGCTGACTCCTTGTGACTGGACAGGAAAAGTAAATGTGAGCAACAATCAGGATACACGGATCCTCCCACACACTAAGAATTTGACAGATTCAACTGTTTCTTTTCCTTGTTAGAAGACAGAGTAGCTAATTCTGTGATAAATTTAATGGGTGTGAAAATGTTGTTTAAGAAATTCTGGATACCATCTAAATCAGTGGTAGCCAATCTTTATGGTTGGCGAATAAAATGCATTTTCTTGTTTGAATATCTCTTGAATTAAGCCAATCAAGAAATATTCAGTCGAGAAAAAACTGAAACCACACTACCAATTGAACATGCACCTACCTCGTGCGAATGTTTGTGGGGGGTGGGGGGATGTTCCTTGATGGCCCCAGGGGCTGGAGTTGGTATGCAGGCTACAGTTGGTGATCACAGGTCTAAATTAATCCTGACCCCACAACAAATATACTAACCACACAAGCTTACTGGACTTTCTATCCTGGGACAGAGAGAGTCGGTCAGTGGCTTGAAGTTATTTTTTTTCCATAAAAAAGATGTCAAGGGAATCCGAAGAGAGACCATGGTTACAAGTTTAGTTTGCTCAATGTACAGGCTCCACCAAGCACAATAGTATGATCCAAGCATGGTTTGACTAGGGTCAATGCATCACTTGGATACACATTTGTCATTTCCTGGGGTAAAATGATATAATTTTTTTCTTAAAAGAAAATCTGTTCTGCAAGCTCTTTTGTGCGAGTGGCTCTGAGAAACAGTGTGAGATCACCTCCGGGAGATAGACCCCCACTGCTTTAGCTTCACACCGGCTGACGTTTAACTACAGCCAGTGCAGAGTGAGCTTTATAACCTTCAATGGAAAGTATGAGAAGTGATCAGCTGATCGACTGCAATGTCCTTGATAATCAAAGTTAGTAGAAACCCAATAGTGCATCAACTCTTTACAAGCATCAAAAATAAATGTATTTTGACCACAAAACAATACTCTACACATTCATGGAACTCAATGGTGCAAGCTTACATCCCTCAATCTAAGACAGGCAGATTCCAGTAAAGTTGAGCCATCATTAATTTCTAAGAAAATATGTAATTCTGTCTGTCACTTGGTATAAGTTGGCCATAACTATAGGGTATAGGAGCTGAAAGTACAAGGGGGAATCATTCACTGATCATCAGTAAATTCTGCAAACTTAATCGGTATGTTCATCTTATTCAGTATTATATCTGAGCATATAGTTGAATTTCCAAAGATTAATTTGTACCACCAAAGTTGGTAAATTTACTAAACAGCAAAGAATAAGATACGATTGTCTTCCAAGCAATTTTGGCAATTTCACTGACAATTGGAAAATCAACCCAATATCTTGTTTGTCAATGTTAGTAAGTCCACAAATCACAGTCACTTTGTTAATGAAAAATAATTTGAAAAAGTATTGCAAGTTCAAATGCATTGCTTAATCATTTTAAAATAAGTTTACCAAATTTTCAAACCTTATTATTCAAGGGAAATACGTGAACTATGAACATTATTACAATGCTGTTTGAAACATGTGGAGTGGGAAAGAGTTAAAATTACAGTATTAAGGAACAGAATGGGTTTAGAAATACCACAATTTTGACCCATATCCATTTTTGATAAAGATTTGGGGAAAAACATATAACAAATAAAAAAAACAATTTTTTAATGAATTAATTAAGTTTTTATTTGCTTTTTGATACATCAGTACATTAGAATGGAATTCTTGCAACTTCTGCAGCAAATTGACTAAAATATACATTGCTTATAATAAGAACTTTGAAGAGCCAATAATTGAAAAGCAATAATAAACATTGAACTTTAAAATAATACAACCTTTTTGAGAAGTTGACATGTATTTGAAAATATATGCGATCACTGGTTCGCATTAATTTTATTTGATGAAATATACTGGACTTAATATCCTTATGTGTCAATGTGAAGCATTTTCGTCCCCTCACCGAGTTAGCAATGGTCATGGAGGTGCCAGCACTCAAAAAAATGAGTTGATGTTAAGGACAACTGAACACAATTTTCCTTGGTACACAACTAACAACATTGGGAAGGTAATCAATGTGTCATGAACGTGGGTGTCAAAGATAACACAGTACCTATTTTTTAAAGGATTATTATCTTAAAATGCATCAATGTAGAAACATGCTTATGAATAAAGAGGAAAAGACTGTTAGGATGGTGTATTCCCTGAAACTTAAAGGTGTCTTAAAAAAAAGTAGAACCCCATTATAACTTGGTTCATTTTAACACTGGCTCACTTAAAGCGTGAATGGGGTGTGGACCCTATTCATTGCACATACACTCAGCCGGCCAGCTCACTTTGCTTGTACTGAATAGTTCCATGCTGGCAATGCTCAACCTCCTGATCATTAGGTCGCTGCCTGCATCACTTCCAGAGAGATGTGGATACACAGCATGCAACAAGTGACATTTCTGGTGACCTAATAACCTGGTAGTCAAAACAAATTTTTGGTGCGGACTGAACGACTAGCTGTGTACATGCACAGTGAAATCAACTATTGCAGCCCCATTATATTGCGGGATGCACGATGTTACAATGAACTCTATCAAAATAGTTTATAAAAGACATAGAGAAAGAGCGAGATGCCTTCATTTGCTAAAGAATACCTCTTCTCTTGACAATGTGATTTTATTCACGATGCATTTGGCCATGCTTTTCCACTTTGATATAAAGTATAATTTACATCAATGATAAATAGGTGCTTGTTTGGTCCCACATACTTTTCCACAGCACACAGTTTCAATGCAGCTCTAGTATTAAATTGTCATTAGCAGCTCAACGCATTTCATTTGTAACAAAACAGTGCAGCACTGCAGCAAAAATATTGAATTGTTCTAAGTGAATCATATTGTAAGTCTGAGCAAGGTGTAAGATTTAGATTTTGATTTGAATCAATTTACAAAATCTGTGAACCAAAAGAATTATGTTTGTTCCGTAAATCTTTGAGGATATAAGCAGCATTTCTGCACTCCAAGCAAACCAAATAGCAAGATTACAGTTTTGCTGTTCATTTTATGAATACAGTCAATTGAGTATTTCCCACTGGCTCTGTACATTTACTAACTTTGCTTTAAAACATTGAACATAAATTTGCAGAGAACTGCTTGTGTAGCATGGGTTTAGCAATTTGAATGGTCTAATCCTCAAAGGGTTCATGTGCTCTAGTTTTTTTTCGATAAAGAAGCTACAAATAATAATAACAATAATAATCTTGCATTTGATATAGCGCAGTTCATGTCTTCTAGACGTCTCAAAGCGCTTCACAGAATAGACCTTAAAGTGAATTGATCGTATATTTGTGGGCAAAACGTGGCAGCCAATTGCGCACAACAGTGTCCCACAAACAGTCGTGGATTGAAAATGACCAATTTATTATTGTTTTGTTTTGGAGGGATTATAAATAGCCAATGGCAGAGAGGAGCTGTAATAGTGGATTTCTCATTGAACTGGGTCCACAGTTGATATATCATGCTAAAATCACAAAACTACAGATCTTTTCAATACATCTTTAGAATGGATGCAATGGATATTACATTATAAACTCACATAATATTCATGGCATGAGATAGGATCCAGTGTCTTAGATATTTTCAAATTATTTAATTTGTCGCTGTGTACAAAAGTATTATATTTAGTTGATCAATGCAAAATAAAATTGGTTCATCTCTTTCCTCACCCATTCTGAAAGAATATAGGTTTGGGCATGTGTCCATACATCTGTTGGATTTATTGGTTGCTGGTTTAATCACTGTAACATGCTCTGGAAAGTACATTACTGGAATTTTCACCAAGCTATTTTTTCTAACTTTATTTACTTGTTGGTTAACCGTTTTTTGGGGGAAAAAAAATCTCGAGGGAAGTTTTTGAGAAATGAAATATAGCATCTGAGCTAAAGTTAAGTGTTCATTTTCTCGCCTTGCTCTAGCTTTGAGGTCTATTTTTCACTGAGTTTTTAAAAAAGGAGATATTTTTGCTATGCCTTTACAATGGTATAGTACAGCCTTGGAACATCCTCTCGACGTGAAAGGCGCTATACAAATGTAATCTTGTTGTTCTTGTAGTAGAATCCTGTTGTAAGGCACCCTGTTTTAACACCGCTTTGCTAGAATCGGGTGACGCTGTTCACTTTGACTGTGGCTTTGGACCAACTGACTGGCTTACACGCATGAGAAAAAGTCTGACATCCTGGTCGACTGGTCGCTACCTACTGCGCTTTCTTCGGCTGCGTAACCACACGGTGCGTAGGGAGTGATGTCAGCACCAACCCGATGCCCAGAAGTTGGCCATTTTTTAGCGCGGGAAACTGGCTGCCTTTGTTAACACACACTCAGTGCACTGATTGCAAAGGTTGGAATTTTATGGATCTCAACTACTGCCACGTAACCAAGATTTCATTGTATGCCGCCAAAGTCAAAACATTTACTGCAAGCGGAGAATAGCCCGAGTCAATAGCATGTTAGAAGACGGGACTAATAGATAGGCCTCTGTTCAGCTGCATTTCCCCTGCATTTCTTCTGACACTATGGCCAGCAATAGATGGTTGCTTGCTGAACTTAATCTCGAGAACGAGGCAAATGCAGATGTAAAAAATACCTAATATTTGCTCACCAAGCAGCTGATCATTGGATTCTAATAAACTATACAATAACAAACTGCTTTGAAGTACTTTTACATAAAATAAATATTTTTTGTGACAGCAAACAATAATCAAAAGAAGCGATAGCGGAAGTGTAACAAAAGTGCAATTTATGGTATTTACAGCATTGAAATCTGTTGAGCTCCTATGAATACTGAATTAAAGATTTTCCTTTGGGACTCCTACCAGTGGTATAGACGTGCCTGATGGGCTGGTCTGCCGAAGGGTGTGGTAATGTGGAAGCAGCAGGGGAGGACTGTGTCCTGGAAACAGGCCTGTGTTTGTCTAATCCTGTCATGCCAACCAGAGCCATCTGAGACTGGTACACTCGAAGGTGCTGGACACGCTGATGCTCCAGGAACTGCTGTTACCATAGAAACAACACAGTAGGAAGAAATGTGAGAGGGATCAAGTAAGACACTTGGAGAAACATGTCAACAAATTAAGTTCATTAGGTCAGTACCATAATAAACATTGTGAAAACCTGAGGCCTAGTCAATAAATCCCTTCAACAGATGTTCTCACACTGTCAGTCAGAGCTGATTACTTCACTATGAGCATTTAGTACCGATCAACTTCTTAAAACTGCCCATTATTTTCTCAGGCAGACATGAAATACAACAGCTGTTTGACTTGGGACTCTTCAGTTATAAAGAAGTAACAAAAAGCAAATTCAGTTTTTTCTTTTAAATAAAAATTACAATAATATTATAATACCATTATTGGTCCATAAAAGAGCCATACTCTAATCTGATATGTGTGTGTGTTAAAGGTGCCCTTCAACACAATATTGTGGCTTGTGGACACAAAACAATATAATAATTCAGCCCATTAACATAATACTGTTGCACGTTCGGTCAAGACCTTTTCACTTTTTTCAAAAGGACTGTATAACCATCCATGCTCAATTTATATATTTAGGTAACCTTAGTGTAATGCCAATTAGTTCATTCTAGTGTATCATAACAAGGAGAAGCACTTCCTACGAAGTACTTTAAAGCCACATTCTTTGCTTGGCAACAATCTTAGCTACAGTAAAATCTTTGGAGGCTACGGATCCAACCACTGGGCCGAAGTCAGGAGGTGTGCTTAGTGTTACACTTGTAACAATCTTATTCATTGGAAATTGTGTTTTTTCTTAACTGATTCAAGGCCCCAAATCCACCTAGTCTTGATCATTTAGACCATTTTGTTCTATAATTTAAAATTGTGTAAAATTTTTGGAAATTATTATTCAGCCATAATTGGGAAGCTGGTTTTGTCGCAATTCTTAAAGAGAACTAGTTTCTAAATCAAGATCAAATTTAAGAATTTTCATAATAATAATAATAATCCTTACATTTGATATAGTTATCATGTCTGTGTGATGTCTCAAAGCGCTTCACAGAATATACTGTAAAGTGAATTGGTTGTATATTCTGTGGGCGAAATGCGGCGGCCAATCAAAATATCCATGTTAATTTTTAAGATGAAATGGTTTTAAAGGCTAAGACTAGGTGATTTTCAGGCCATCAATTGACTTATTAACAAATTGGAGGATCTGTTAAGAAACATCACAAATTTCACCAATAATCATTTATATATTTTAAAAAATAACCTCTTTATTACATTTCTTTCAGATTTTTAGCAATCAGCATTTGCAACCCACATGCAGTTTACCATATTATCATGTCATAGGGAATATTTGAAAGCAAACACAATACCTAAATTCGCTGAAAGGGGAAATTAGAAGAGAAGAGCACAAGGAGGCATGAAAGTACAAAAGACCATTCAGTCCATAAGGTCTCACTTTCTGCAGAGCATGACAAACCTACCCAACCACGGATTTCACTCAATACAATACAATTCACACTTATATTGCTCCTTTCATGTCAGGAGGACATCCCAAAAGTGCAGAACAATTGGGACTAGGCACCGGAGCCAAGGATGGGAGTTGAGGTGGATGGTTGACTCATTCTATTACCTGGGGATATTTCTACAAAAAATCTCCCAACTCCCTAAGAAATTCAAGTAAAAGCTCTATAAAATTGATTCCACAAATCTATTTAATCTTCCTCCATAGGCAATATTTCCGACTCCCCGTCCCAGTTTTGCCCATCTTAGTCTGCACCTTTTGCTATGTTCTCCAACACAGTAACAGAAACATATTCAATCTGATTTGAAGAAGCTCTGATCATCTGTTGTAAAAAAATGTTTATATCACTTGGAAGAGTTAATCCATATTATGTTTATAATGCACACTGAGCATGTTTAAAGGTTTTAGATTCTGGCTTGAAATATGTTAATAATTTTCACATCAAGAATCCAATTTACCAGAAGATTGGGGAGTTTAACTCTCATGACAAACCTCACTTAACATCTGGAAGCTATGAGCTTAAAAAAATGTCTTTTTAAATCACTATTTGACAGCTAACAGAAGGTTAATAATGTGACAAAAACAGTAGTATGCTAAATGTTATCCTATTGAGGCAACATTAAATCCAATGCACCTAAAGTGCCTTCTTTCTATTGCTAAGTTTTGTTTACTTGAACACCATCAAACTGTCATGGATCTGAAGCCAATTACACTGCAGGTTTTACCCTGAATTATGTGTGAAAACAAGCAACAGTGTTCTTAAGATGTATCCGGACATTTGGGGGTGAAAATTCAGCATGTGGTATGAAAATTCTGACTGGGCACTGGAATCCAGAAACATAAAAATTTGATCTTGTGAAATTGAGCTGAAACACTTAAATTTGTGGCTGGCATTAGTGGCAAAAATAAAATTGTTAAGAAAAAAAATTCACCTGAAACCAGTGAAAACTACTTTTGACCAATAAATAAATCATACGTAATTCTTAAATTTGATATAACACCTTTACTATCAGGAGGCCGTCTCAAAGCATTTACAGGAATTTACTGTAATTTAAGTGTAACAACTGTGTATTTTGCAGGTGAACATGACAGCAAAATTGTGCACAGCAATACTACAAATACAACAATTTGCATTTATATATTGCCCCTCACTCAGGGTAGCGGATGCTCCACATACAGCCTTGAAATGAATAATTAATTTTTCTGGGGAATTGTTGACCAGGACACTAGGAGAAACTCTCTTCATGTTTTGAACAGTACCATGGGATCTTTAACACCCACATGAACAGGTTGATAAGACCTTGGGTTAACATCCCATTTGTAGGACAACATTTTGAACAATACACTACGCCCCCCATGACTGCCTGGTATCAGACTAGACTCTGAGCTATAAAATTCCACGATGGAATAATCATCACCTCTGATAATTATCACATCAAATGATGCACTTTTTGCCTCAATTTTTCAATTTGATATATTCTTTTGAAGCAGGTCATCAAATGGTATTGTTTGTTTAAATGCAATGACCTGCACCACAGGCCTTGATGTGTAATCGACAATGTTGTCACTGTGCAAATTTCCTGAAATCTCTTTACATGTGCATTCATTGCAGACTTACTGCATATACTCCTTAGAGGAGGCAAGCTGGGGGTAAATGGGGCCTCCTTGAAGCAGAGCTGATTCCAAGGTGACGTGCTTGGCAACATAATGAAAGAATTGATTCAACAATCTGTAGCGGTTTCGGTCGTCTGGTTCCTGAGCCAAGATGGCACGCAGTCCTCCAGGGCACAACTGATGACAGACCAGCCAGCCTGACTCATAGACAGGACATGGAAGAGCAGACCAGCTACTTGGGCCAGGGATTCGTCCCATTGGGTTTTTAATAACCCTGCAACCCAGAGCTCTAATAGGTAGGATAAATCTAGCTGGGCAAGCATCAGGAAGCTTACTGAACAGCGCTTTCAAATAGCTCTTGGCTTTAGCTGGTCAAACTCCAACATACACTCTAGGGTCCCCAAACTGTGGCTCTCACTAACTTGTGCCTTATACTTCAGTGCACATTCCATTCCATTGCAGACACAGGAAAATTTCCATACGTAGATAGCATGTCCGTCTTTCCAATGAGATGTTAAACTGAAGGCCTGTCTGCCAGTTCAGATGGACGTTAAAGATTTTATGGCACTATTCGTAAAGAGAAGGGACTTTCTTCTGGTATCCTGGCCAACAATCCCCAAAATAAAATTGGCTATCTCTTTCATGGCTATTTGTGGGACATTGCTCGGTGCAATTGTACTGCTGTGTTTGCCTATAAATATACAGGCCCTCCATTTTACAGTGAATCCTGTGAAGCGCTTTGAGATGTGATTCTGAATTGATAAGGTGCTATACTAAATGCAAGGAATATTATTATTATTATTATCATACAGTGAAACTCTCATTCTAGTTTGGATACTCTTAATCATAGTGATGGGTAGCTGCCTGTTGGCTGACCAAACCAAAATAGAACAACGTAGGATTCCACAAGCTTCCAAAGTGTGCTATTGATCAGCTCTTCCAAGATAAGTAAAAGACTTAATGTCCCATGAAGCTGACAGTCTGAGCCACCCTGAAACACCAAATGGCTAAGTGTTGACAACCAGATCATCGCAACATTTCTAGTATCACATTTTTCATTTTGACCAAAGCCTGATTGAGGATTTCTCAGTATAAGTACACTCTAATGGTGCTTCGCAACCATGTCCACCTCTGAGAAAAGTGGTCCCATTTGAGGGTTGCTTGAGATCTTATCAACTCCAAGCTCATCAAACAGGAAGTCAATCCTTGACATTCATGAACCTCCATGTGTTGTTGCACTGAATGATTTGCCACAGTAAGCTTGATGCTGGGCTTCTGCAGATTCCCAGTGGAGCACTCAACTCACCCTGTAGGCGGTTCATTTAAATGCATCACTACTGGAAACAGCCTGGGCTTTCTACAGACCATAAATCCATTTACTCCACTAGAAGTGTGCATGGACAGGATCAGTCTCAGCTGTAATTTCACCCCCATGGTGAAATAGCCTGCGGATACTAATTGTTTAAACTTGCACACTTGGGTGAAGAACTTGGCGGATTGCCAGTACTGTGGAACTGTCCCCCAGGATGAGTCACTGCCTTTATTTGTACAATTATGCCCCCAAATGGCTGTTCAGAACTGACATTCTTCCTATTCTAACTTATATTGATATCTACAAACCAAAATCTGGCCACGCTTCTGTCTATTTCATTGACAACCTTCTGACTCAGAGACAAGAGTGCTACCAGTGGAGCCACACTGACATTTAATGTACAGCATTACTATTTAAATAATTGTAAGCCTCTACATTATTATTTCATTTAAATTCACATACTCACAAATACACTGGCTGCCTGTTGCCCAGCAAATCATTTTCAAGATCCTCACTCTTTACATCTCCCTACCTCTGTAGCATTCTCCAGCCTCATTTTCCTGCTCTCGGCCTTCACTCAGCA